AAATTGAGAAATATAGAAAAATTGTTACTTTTATAAAATAATTTTTCAGGTAATTTTTACAATATCATTACATAGATTAAATTTTATAGATAAAAAAGATTCGTGCAAGGTCGCATCAGGAAATTACCACCACGTATCATCGAAGAGTGTTACATCAACGAATGTCAATAATATCCACATGTCGCGATAAAGGAAGGTGAGAAAACGATTCGTCGATCAGATGGCTCATATGCTCAATTTAAGTGCGGAAACTGACTGCGGAAGAAGGCTGAAGGCGCGAAGAGAGGCGCGATTCGCGAAGCACCTACTTACGGCTCTAACCTGCTTCTTGAGTAGAAAGCAGATGCAGGTCCACACACGGGAGGCCATTAAGAGGAAAGCTCTCATCCCCATCTGCAATTGCTTCAGCATCTCTACTGTTCTTCTCACCGGGCCCAAGTCCGGCAACACTTAATCTCCAGTGTCGAATGTGTCCGTTGCGGGTTTGTGCTCCTATTTTTCTTTCCCACCGCCACCGCTCACTGCACTCTGCAGTAGATGTGATCGACTCGGAGTCGCGAGCAACCGCGAGGTTCGCGAGCCGCGAAGCGGTCTAGACCGTCTAGAAGTCTAGAATCGCGACGGCGACGGCGACGGCGACGACCGACGACCGACGACAGTCGAGAACCATAAAAGGCAGCTTCTTCTCTCGTTGCCGCTTATCGTAAACAAATTCGTCAACACTGCCGCGATCCGAATCAAGATTTGACGCGAGCGAGCAGTTTTTACGACGGGGCCTGTACTCCGTACCACGACAGGTCGCGTCTCGCGCGTGTTTACGCACCTGACCGTCGTTCTTTCATGTTTCTCACAAAACCCGAGACATCCAAGTACGAGGTACGAGATACGAGTCTTCTTACGCGCATCACGCAACGGCCGCCATCTTCCGCGCATCGACCCAATTTTTCCGTGCGCACTACGCTGCCTCTCGCTGCTCTCGCTGCTCTCGCGCCTCTCGCGTCTCGCGGAGTCGCAGCTCGCAGTGGTCCGAGTGGTCGCAGCCGTCGCGGGTCGCAGGCTCGCATTCTCGCAGTTCCTACCGGTCGCTGCTCTCGCGAGTATTTTCATTTTCGATCCATTTTCGATCCATTTTCGATATCGAATCCTCGAAACGTCGAAAGTCATCGAGGCCACTTTGCGAGACCTTTGAAATACCATATCGAGATGTCACAACATTAGATGAATATTCTCTTTCAATATTAGATAAATATCGCTTATTTATATCGCAAACGTCTATGATATAATAGTATAATATACGTATACATGTTCACCCACGCATGCACGCACGCACACTTTGGAAAAGTTGCAGTTCTCTATTATAATAAGTGCTCTTACGAAATTTTATATATATATATATATATAAATCAGAAAAATTAAATGACAATAATTATACTCTTATCATTCAAAGTTGATGAAACTTAAAAGAAACAAATAAAAGTCGAAGCGTATTCTTTATATGACACATTGCATACACAAATTGCAAATTTATTTATAAAAAAAAGCCATACTTTATCCCATGAAATATCCAAGCTTATTTAATAGGAGACTCGGTTCTTGCAAAGGCGTATTATTATATGGTCCGCCTGGAACTGGTATGTAATTACGAAATTTTATATATATATATATATATAAATCAGAAAAATTAAATGACAATAATTATACTCTTATCATTCAAAGTTGATGAAACTTAAAAGAAACAAATAAAAGTCGAAGCGTATTCTTTATATGACACATTGCATACACAAATTGCAAATTTATTCTTTGGTTAGACGTTTTTACCAAGGCTGCGTTCGGAAATGTACACCGAGTGCTTCCAGACATCAATTTATTCTTGTTTAACATTCGATGAATAACAGGATAGGATGATATTTGCGAAGCACCAAATCACTTATTGATACGCTTGATATAAACCGCTGGCGGATTATTTTGGTCTGATATTTCTGAATCAAAAGTATCAGACCAAGCTGATACGCGTATCAAATGGTATCAAAGAATCTCAGTGTGCTGTAAACGCTTGATTCGTTTTGGATCATATATTAAAATTCACCACTGCTTTTAAGTTCAGGTTAAAATTAGAATTAGAAGTTTTACATGTTGAAAAGCAGTGAAGACATTGTCACCTAACCTGACTCGTTCTGAGGCAGATCTGTGTAAATGAGGACGTATCAAACATTTAATCCGCATCAATTTGATACGCGTACTAACCGTTTAACGGTGTAAAAGGGGTCATTAATGGCAAATTTCTCAAATACGAAAAAGCCAGGCGAGTCGAGCACGTGAGTACTCGGCACCCCGCCAGAAAAAGGATATTTTCAACTCTTGCAGTTGGCAATGGGTGCCAACCGTTTAGTACCACGACCGCTCACTAATGCTGGATTCACTCATAAGCGCTCAGTGAGCTCTCGTATCTGTTTGGTTTATATTTTTATGAATTCCGCGCGCGCGCAGAAAGTTATGCGAGTGTATGTTCGCTTTTAAAAAGATCTTTATTTATGACGATATGTGTGAAACACACATATACATACATATATATATATATATTATTTGCTAGAAACAAATTTATTAATTATATTTAAATTAATACACACATTTGCTTGCTAAATACAATATTATGATCAATTATGTATAATGATAATTATTAAGTAATATACAACAAAATGTACAAATTCTATGCGTATGCTAATAAAGTACAATTCTTTATACAATTTTTTAAATTCGATCAATTATTTTGCTAATACATAGTACTAACGTTCTTTTACATATACCATCTTTGTACTTTACAACGAAATATACAGAGGAAAATTACAAGTTTAATTACAAGGGGACTAATTTTACTTTATTTTGTACAGCTAAGCTTATAATTTAGATTTTGGATACACACACGCACGCGCGCACGCACGCACGCACGCACGCACATACACGTGTGCATATGTCATACGCAATGTTCGTATAGTATATGAACATTGCGAAGACAATATATGTCATAGATTTATCACAACATATTTTATCGGATCAGAATTCCAACTATATACGTAAATAAGATATATATCGGTTTTTTAGAAAGTATAATTTTTATATATCTCCTACAGTATAAAGTTGCACAACAGTTGCAGCAACACTGCTGCAACTTTGCAGCAACATTACATGTTACAGCAATATTGCTGCAAATACTCTGTGCTGTATAGGATATGTGAGATAGCATATTCAACAATAAATCTATGATATATATACATTTATATATAATCCTATAAAACATTCTTATCGATAACATATTAATAAGAAAAAACAAAATAATTTATCAAACTATCCGTAAATTACATAAAATATCTATGTACTAGCATAAATAATTAATCAATTTTAATGATCTTTAAAAAGTAAACACAATACAGAATTATAACACAATAATTCGATAAATACCGCGTGAGAAGACATAATTTATTATAAACAATCTAAATAAAAGGATGATTCTGCATTTTTATCACGTATTACAGTTGTGTGTATCGGCTTTTTGATAACATAATATTATTGTCCTCGCAGCTATAATTAGGAAGCAGAAGTTATGAAAGAAATATATCTGGAGAATATATCTCGAGATTATATCGGCAGGCATGTGAATGTATATCGCGATAAAATATTAAATAGACTTATCGAAAATGTTCCCTATACGGAAAGAAAAATAACTACAAATCATTTTTACATACATATTTTCAGTATTGTTATAAAAAAGTTTTTCTTTTCATAAATTCATTATCAATTAGAGATTGTTCTATTGCGATAAATAGAATCTATGTCTCTTCAAGAATGGAACATTACAAAATTTACGCCCTACTTTGTTTTACATTTTTTGAAATGTTTCATTATCTAACGTATCATATAATAAGGCGTTTTCGATGTTTGGCTTTCTTCACATATAGCAAAGAAGTATTTTTTTTTCCGAATCCTTCGTATATGACGGATCAGCTGTTATGACTAGCTTGACGATCTCAAAGGCACCTGCTTCTCTGTCGTTAATTTTTCATCATCTGTGTAAGTAACAGGATAAAAAGATGATATAAAGTTGTGAAGGAATTACAAATTTAATTTCCATCATGAAACATAATGTTATCATGGATATTTCCATATGAAATTATTATTCTTATTAGAGAATGATGTAAGAGAGCTGTATGTAACATAAACATAAACTTTATATACACGTATATATACAACACATATATCGTATATATTTTTTTGTATAAAATCTATTAATGCGTTTTCTCTTTTTTTGAAGGGGAGGGAGGGGAGGAGATAAGTAAAAACTAATGGAGTTGCAGGTTCCCACCAGATCTCACCAAGACGTTACTATGAATACGGCCAACGCAGTGCCACAAATGTTTTGAAGCATTTCTTGATTAGTCAATTCGTAAAATTTTTCCTATGATTGGTCAATCAAATGCTTCTAAGCACTTATGGTGAGACTTTGACCGCACCCTATGTGTATTAATCACTACACTGAATTTTTTATGCAAAAATGCACACAGTTTGTGCGCGTCTATGTCCGTCCCTAGACTACTATATATGTACTTATACTATATAACCTTTCAATTAAACGAACATTATTATAAGTTGCAGACTAATCATGCTATATATATTCATAAATTGTACAAGCATGACCAATCCCAAATAATGTTGTCTCATGCAGAAAACATATTTAGTTTTATTTTGTACATATTTGTTTAAATAAATACATACGAATAATTATCACATGAAGTTATCCTCGGCTTTGTGCCTTTTTTTAAATATAATTGGAAATTACGGCTTATCTTTCATTTACACGATACAGGATGATAGTACTTGTATTTTATACAAAATATCTCGAGTATTACCTTCCTGAAATAACGTAGAGCATCGACGGTGTCTCAAAGCTGCCGGAAAATAAGAATGTTCCGTTTTCTCTGCTATAGCTTCCTATAAAAGTTACTCTCACATAATATATTGCCAGATGTGACACTATAAGGATATTGAAAGCGTCTACTTTGCGCTTCTATCAGGACAATTCTGGAGATTATTGACTTTTTTTTTTTGCAAAATACGAAAAGTGAAATAAGCCGATATTTCTTTGCTCAGGTATTATTTTGATGATGTCAATATGATACAATTATTTACCCAATTTACAGTCAAGACTTTGATTTCTAATGCATCCAAAATCGCATCATTCTCTTTTGCAGAAAGAATATAGAGGCAATTTATCCATTAAATTAATGGAAATAGAGCTAAGTCTCTCTAACGCAAGATTCTTTTTACACAGATGTAATGTCAATTAGGCATCGCATCATGTTGTAACGATGTGTTATTATCATACTGTCATTAATATAATGTTCGTCTAGATATATCCATCTTACACTGCGCCGATTCTATATTTCGTGTTCGATTTCCGATGCCACAGTAATGTTATATGGCATTAGAATTCGTTCTATATGTGCAGACACAGAGCGTTTAATAATCACGGCATCATTGCCTGATAACTACCTAGCATAATCCATAACGCTTTCGGCGTTTTCTTTCTCGATGGATTTTCGTTATCAATAATTTGGTTATATTCAATGATTACCGTACGTGAATCGCGAATAAACAGTCTTTTCATCCGCCGAATTTCTCTCGAAACTCGGCTCTTGGCAGCGTTTAACTCTTTGAGTGTACATTTGTTTTTTGTGCCTTCTTCTTTCGTGCTGCCAGCATGTCGTAGAAAGGATTGTGCGATATACTTTGTCTGGAAATAAATAGTAATGTTTGAATAATTTTTTTCACAATTTTACTTTGTACTTTACTGTGAAAGAATACGATAAAGTACAAGCATGTAAAATTGTAATTTATTTGTCATTTCAACTTACCGCACACATTTAATCCATTCATCCTTTTCTTCATCGGTAGCTGCAGACATTCGGTATACCGTATGTTTCCCTAATTACAAATAATTGTAAACAAATATTTGATTAAAATGTATTCGTTCGCACAGAAAAGTATAATGTATTGAATCTTTTTATGTTAATTAATTTAATTAAATTTTAAGCAATCGTACCTTCGACGACTTTTCCTTCGCTATCAGTCTTGCATGCCTTTATAAACTCGGAACCAGCAGCATACAATTCGAAACAGTGCGGTTTATGCCGATCTTGAATCTCTCGAACTTGAATATTCTCTAGCGGAATGATACCGCGTGGTTCCTTATCTGTTGTATACTCGAAATAGTATAAACAATTATCGTTCAATATGAACCATCGCCTCTTCCAACTCTTGTAACGTCCGCCTGTAACAATAAAATACGGAATATATAGAATGAAGAACCTATAATTTTCACAGAGATGTTATTTACCTGCTGTCTCCATCAGGGCAGCAGAAGGACAAAGTGATACAATGTAAGAATAAACGTTCTTTTAACGATAAATGTGAAAAAAATTGAGGAATACTCTACGAAATATCGAGCTTTATCTTTTTTTTTATCTTTTTGTATTACGTCAAAAATTTTGTGAAACGAAATTAAACGAATATATGTGTGTACACAAATCTGCATGACGCACAAAACTTATTTCAGGCCTTTACGAGCGTGCGAACTTGCGAAGATAAAAGGAAAACCATCGGAATGCAGTCAAACTAGAAAAGTCATGTCGAATATAAGTAGTCATTACCTTGTTTCCACAGCCAGCCTTCTTTATCAGGATTGAAGAAGGTGTGCATCAAGTCGTTGCCATCGTCTTCTGGTATTTTGAAAGGCTCGGTTTTTATACTCTCGTATAAACTCTGTAAATAGATAGGGATATATTTGATTAAGCACAAATGTGTGTAAAGAAAATTTTTGACTGAAAGATGAGAAAAAATATCTTAGGATGCTTTCCTCATTTAATGACAAAATTCGACACAAATATCATTCTTATACCTTTCTTGGCATTCAATGCGTAACAAAGACATGATTAATAATTATTAGATAATTATGTCAACTTGTCTCATCAAATGAAAAACTATAGTCTTCCGAAAGTGTACCAGTGTACCTACCACAAGCAGTTCCCGCGGCAGATCACCGCCATTGTTAATCCCTCGATTCATCGAAATAAATTGATCTACGCTGGGCTTATCTTTAACGCTCGGATTATGCAACGAAGTATTCAACATGATGATGGCGAAGCTCAGTACGTAGCAAGTATCCGTATTGGTGAAGATATTTGGGTTTAGCTGGCAGTACCTTTGAGCGAAACACTCCATCATGCGATCGATCTTTTGTGCTTCGCCGGGCAGTCGGAACGACCAGAGAAATTGACGCAGGGCTTGTACCAAAATGAGATCGGTAAAGTCGTGCAACTCGACGAAGGCTCGCAGCACGCGTTCATTGAAGTCATGTCGTTCACCGAGATAGTCGCCGATCGCAGTTTTATTAAGGCCCTCGCCCTTGTAGAGAAACTGAGCAACGTCCTCGGGCGTCGGTGTTAAGAGGTTGTGCTCTATCAGGTACTCGATACCCTTCTTAGGATCCATATTGAACTTTTTGCGGCCGATCGACGTCTGCTTAGCTTTGTTGGACGGTTTAGTCTCGTCGGCCGTAAGTCCGCCGCCCTCCATCGCCTCCATTTCTGCCACAACCTCGCCCAATTCATCTTTTAATTGCTAAAAAAACAAATCGTACAGAATGAATTGTAAAAGTGATTGTCCAAATTAAACTTTTATTATATTTTCTAACATTTCTAATATTTTCAACATTTTAGCAATATCGATTATACAATTCTTGGATTACGAGAAATTCAACGATTTGAAATTCTCAACTGGAAAACGTATATATCATCGAAATATATTATATTGTGTAATAATCCAAACGACGCGATTGTAGACTGTGCGCATGGTTTCTTTCGCTGTGCAACAGCGGGTAGGCTTCCTGCTTTACTCGAATACCGGTCGACAGGTCGACACTGTCCGCCTGTTTCCCACCATGTGCCTCAGTTCAACGCACATTCTGTAAATACCGGTAAGCAGGATCGTATCTCTTTCAGAGTTTCGCGACCATGTCCAACAAGCGTTGAGTTAAAGACGTTAACGCGTTAAAGGTGTTAATAAGCACGTAGCATCGCGTAACGATTATTGTGTCGGCTTACAAGAGTGAGTGAGCTTGAGAGCGACGAACGCGAATATTATCAATATCTTTTGAATTCCGACGTCTCCCTTCACGTTCTCATTTTTTTTTTCTTTACATGAATAAATACAATCGAATTTTACACAAAAGGTGCCGCGAAGAATATTCATATTGTATGCAAACTACGCGATACATTTATTCGCAACATTACAAGTATTACAAACAAGTAGCACGTTCTAGGAAATGAAATGATATATTATACGGTCGCGCATTATCGCGAATTATCTGTCGATACGAAAATATTTGCGAGTTTTAGCCATTCGATATGTTCCATTTTCAAACTGTATCTTAAACTGGCAGAAGAAATTCCAAAGTTGACAAAATGTAGAGTTTGACAATTAGTAGTAGACATGTATAGACGTAGTGTACGTTGGAGTCTTTTTCTATAGAGCATAGAATCGTTTCAGGAAAAAGGAAGGGCCGACCGGAAGCGGTCGTGCATTAACATCGTTCACCGATCAGCCTCGTTAATGAGTCGCCGCGACAACAACAAGGACAATAACTTAGTTGCTAGTCGGCCCTGAGTAGTATTGTCTGTAAGGTATGGTAGCGTTTCTTTTGTACTTATCGGAGTGCATCCGGTCTCACGGCAGGAAGGCCGCTGACGACGCGTGAAAAACCGGTACGCCTCGTGCACCCAGAAATTATAACTCTTATATTATAACTCGCTGTCTGAAAGAAACTTCCCTTCGATACCGTTCCCTCGCGAATCTAAATTCTTTCGAGTCCATTATTTCATCCGAACAAAATTAATCTTTATTATTAGAATGACCTTGTGCAGGATATAACGAAAAGAACAGCGAATGCGCACTCACATATATACATGATCAATGACGCAAGATAGCGTTTAGCGTTGCTAATTATCGCTTTGTCATTATCGAAATGAGATACGAGCGAACAATTATACTAGTTGAAACTTTCAATCGTTAATCATCTCGGACACTTCTGGCAAAACGAAATTGCACATTATAAATATTTCGTGCTCTGCGGCGTTAAAAAGAGATCAAAATTCATTAAAAGTAACGCGTCTTGAACTTAATTTTCATCACATTTTTCTTAACTCTCTCTCTTCTCTCTACAAAACAATACTAATAATTTTTACGTTAAGTTTTTACATCAATGATAACCTTTTTTATTCTCAACCCATCCAAATTTCTTCTCATCATCTCTCTTCATCAATTTACATCATTTACATACATTGTACATTTTACAAGAAAAACATTCTTCTTTTCAAACGGCTCGTACGTAATCTACCTATGTTCACGTCCCTTTTGTCCGTTCTGTGCGGAACGATTGCCTTATTCCATTCTATTTCTGTCGTACGCGTCCTGTACAATCGATCGAAAGTTCAGCACTACTCAACAAACTTCCTTCCGCGAAACGGGATCAAGTAAAGGGCATTCATTCATACGACTTGTCAAAAGTACGCGGAGATGACTTTATGTGACAACTTTATATTACTTGAAATATTACGTATACAGAGCATTTCCTCTATTTCCTCATGTAGGTATGTACGAGCGTTTTCGATCTCGAAACATTTAACTACTATCACATTTGACCCCTTCTTGAATAAACGTAATGCGAACGTCAAAGAATTTTCCTATTTTTATAATGGGAAATAGAGACTACTTTAATGATATTATATTTAATTATATTAAGCTAAATATGAATTATCGATAAAACAGCAAGGAAATATGTATCCATGATCAGTTTCCCTCTAAACACTCACATATCATAGGATAAACACGAGAGTAGGCAGCCTATTAATAAACGTCCCTTCAGATATGCTGAACATATTTTGAAGAAATTATGTACTTGTAATGTATAACAATAATCTTAATTTTTTTTAAATGACCGTGATATCACTGATATCAATGAAAATTATTGTAACTTTACTTGACTTTCAGACAAAAGTATATTTTTTAGAATTGCTTATTGTCGATTATATTGCACATGCGAGAAAATGAAGCATTCCCATATAATGTCGCCAGCAATTGCAACGAAACCAACGCTTAGCCAACGTTACGACTGTCAACTAGCGGCAAAGGTTCTGTCGATCAGTAGGTATAGTCAGGGCTCGAGTCAGGGCCTAAAAGGTTGCAACACTTTGACTTTTTTTTAAATAAGTTTCAGAATGCAGCTTGCTCACCGAGCGATTGGTTCTTATTCATGGATCGACAAATAAGAACCAATCGCTCGGTGAGTATAGGCTGCATTTCGAAACTCATTTAAAAAAAAGTGTTGCAACCTTTTAGGTCCTGACTATACATACCTGAACGATAGCAGTCAGTACTGGCTCAGTGTTGGGCCGATTGTAAAACTCTATATATGGGATTGTTTGAGGCAAAATAATGTAATATAGTTGTGTATGTGTGTGTGTGTGTGTGTTGATAAATTTAATGCAAGTAAATCTCCTGAAAAAAAATAACGTTTACATACAATACATAATAATCTACTGTTCATCGTGTCTCTAATTTCAGTGTCGTGACGCGCGCGCGAAACAACAACTAATCAGTTAAACGAAGAGCGAAAGTTTCCGTTCCCGTTCGATTAGATGCTACTTTATCCGGTTGGTACCAAGTCAGATGTATGTGCTACATACGAGTTTTGTAACCAGTCTGCGTCATGAAAGTCGTACGCAAACAAATTGCATGCCTGTGCGATGATTTAACATTACATTGAGCTGAGCGTTGTCTCGAAAACTAATTGTGTTTTACGAACATATGTTCTTTATAATGTCATTCATCCTCGTTTTTCGTTATACCGTGCTGCCATGTCGCGATTAATATAGACTCGTAACAAGGTTTTACTATAAATACATATTTGGAATCTGATACGATAAATCGCGTTCAAATCCGATTTGAATGGGAAATCCATTCGTACGATATATAGGTATGTATAGTATAAATAAGAGGAACAAGAATTTTCTTATCACATAAATGGATAAAATATTTGTTAAGAAAAAAAAAAATATATATATATAATATAGATAAACTGTTTATTTACAAAACGTAATTGTAAGAGTGATGCTATAACGTTATACAAACTTTTTGATTCTGACGATAAATATAATATTCCCAAGCAGAACAACATATTCTGACGATAAATATAATATCCCCAAGCAGAACAACAAGTCACGACAATGTCAAAATGACATAAAAATGAATCGGAAATGATTGAAAAAAGGCTTTTAATGATCATTTTGGAGTCATTTTAACATTATTTTGATATCATAATGACTCGTTCTGCTTGAGTCTACACATATATCTACGTATATGCATATGATGTATATATTATATTTATATAGATATATGTGGCAGTTTAATACTTTTTCTATGCAAAAACAATACAACTGTGTTATATATGGACATCATGTTGCATAAAATACAACGAATATGCTCTCAAACATTAAATATAATGTCTTTATTATGAGTACATTGCTAGTGTAAGTATAGCTATCCATAATAAAGATGTTTTACAATATTATGCGCAAATACATAGGTGATCTATGTATTTTATTTTTACTCTTAATGCAATATACAAATGTTTCATTTTTTAAATGTGCAAAATTTACTAAAACCATCATAAAATAATTCATTTTGTGAAATCGCATGGTCAAGGCTCACAGGCCAAACGATAATCCATTTTTATTCAAACCGATAACTTAAACGAAAACATAAAGTTCGTTTCGTTACTCCTGACTAATCATGCGACTAATAAACATGACTGATTATAAACCTGGATGATAAGATGACAATTCCCTCCCTCCCTTTCTAAGAAGAGCGCGAGTTAGGTATAGAGTGCGTTCCGTTTCTCGCATGAGGTGCATAATGCATCGTTTATCCTTGTTGATCACCAAATGTTAAACAAGGACAATGGATGCATCATGCGCATCATGCAAGACACACCTATAGTGAAGAAATGGACGGACTAGTTCAAAATGCGCGCTACGCGGATTCTTCGAGTCATAGAAAACTGCGACGAGCGTTTGGATACAATCCAAGAGTTACGAATTCGCGGAAGAAACGCACGCAAAACGCGAAAGCATACAAGTGTTTTCTCATTACTTGAGTGTAACGGACAATGACTTAAACTTTTAAGGTTTCACGACGAATCCGTTATCCGTTATCCATTTATACCACGTCTTTTCCTGATTATTATGAAAGAACGTGAAAAACAAAGACCTGAATGCGCAGAACGAGAAACGGGATCGTATATTGTTAAAATTATTCGCACGATAATGATGCTGGGGGGGGGGGGGGAGGGGGTCTCGACGTGGATATGGAAAGTATGGAAATTTTGCTAAAAAAAAAAGTCTAAAAATTGATCTAGATACAGATTTGAAAATAATTATATGGAACGCTTAAGTGTTGATGACAGTGCTGCAAAAAGTTTTCTAGCATTCGGCTACGTAATTATTTTGATGGTCCAAACGAAATAATTTTCTGCATCTAGATGAATTCTTTCCATACATGTAAAT